TTTTTTTTTTTTTTTGGTAATTTTTTGTGGAGGTGGAATCTCACTATGTTACCCAGGCTGGTCTTGAACTCCTAGGCTCAAGTGATCCTCCCTCAGCCTCCCAGAGTGCCGGGATTACAAGTGTGATCCACCGTGCCCAGCCTGGTCGGGGTTTTCTATTTGTAGTCACTCATGACTATTGCATTTGAAATCTCTTTTCTAGATCCGGGAGTCAAAATCTATGGCTGTGCATTACCCCCTGGAAGCTCGGAAGGATCTGAGGTATTGCACGGGCTCACTGACCTTCAGTTTGGTACAATAGCACCTGTTTCTGTATGATTGTGAAATTTTAGGGTTGGAGACAATTTTAGAAATCAGATCTCACCACTGTACAGTGAAATACTTATGCCCTAAAGCTATCCTCATTATATCAGCATACGTATTCAGCAATGTGCCTGCACCACAGACACGCAGGTCTGTTCAGCTTCATAAAATGAAGTTGGTGTTAACATCCTTTGTGCCGGAAAGTGATTTAGTCATTTGTAACAGCACCAATGAAAGTTTGCTAATTGTTGTGTGTGGCATCAATCACTGCATTTTCAATTAGTATTTTGTGGGTTTACTTTGCATCATGCAATGACTCACCTTCATTCCACTTTAAACTGAAATAGGGTGAAGATGATGACTACTTGCCTGATAATGTGACCTTTGCACCCAAAGATGTCACACCTGTGGATTTCACACCTAAAGATAATGTGCATGGTCTGGCCTACAAGGGCCTGGATCCTCACCAGGCACTGTTTGGAACTTCGGGAGAACATTTTAATCTTTTCGGTGGTGGCTCTGAGAGAGCTGGCGATCTTGGAGAAATTGGACTGAATAAAGGAAGAAAATTGGGAATTTCAGGCCAGGTAAAATTATTTTCTATTTTATAAAGGGGGAGTCATTGATAAATGAGTCTACTTTCTTTTTTCTTTTTAGAAGTTCTTTATTTTCTTTTTTTTCCCCTAATCCTCAAGTGGAATCAGGTCAAAGGTTCTTTCTTAAAATGTATTTTAAAAATGGTAACTTTGCCATTTACCCTCTTTTTTTTTTTTTTTTTTTGAGGCGGAGTCTCGCTCTGTCGCCCAGGCTGGAGTGCAGTGCTGCGACCTCAGCTTACTGCAACCTCTGTCTCCCGGGTTCAAGTGATTCTCCTGCCTCAGTCTCCCTAAGTAGCTGGGATTATAGGCATGCGCCACCATGCCCAACTAATTTTTGTATTTTTAGTAGAGATGGGGTTTCACCATGTTGGCCAGGCTGGTCTCGAACTCCTGACTTCAGGTGATCCACCTGCCTCAGCCTCCCAAAGTGCTGGGATTACAGGCATGAGCCACTGCGCCTGGCCACCTTTTCTTTTTATAAACATTTTTTTTTTCAGTCTTTTAAACAAAAATGCTACTTGTTAGAGGCCCCTTCCCGTAGAGACTAGGAGTTCTTCCAGCGGGCAGTAGAGTAGCGGCGGTCCTTAGACCCTGGCCACCAGCGTTGGCCCGGGCCGCATTGATCAGTTGATGAACATTTCTGCCTTTCTCCTCTTGGAAGCCACATTTCCACCCCTGCACTGCTGCCTAGCTTTGTTCTCCACTCCTCATCCTGTGCTGGGACCTGGAGCCATGGCTGTTGTGGGGACTGGAGGGCAGCGTTAGCACTGGGGACATGGAATTTCACCTCTGGTCATTGTTTTCCAAAAATCTTGTGTGTGTGTTGATCTGGGACCCCCGTTCACTTCTCTCTTGGTGATCTTGAAGTGCTACCGTGGTTTCCAGTCACATCCTTAAAGTAGCTTTATCCCTGAAGATCCCAGACATACCCTAACCCCTGTACTCAATTTGAAACCTTGTTTTTTAAAGGCTTTTGGTGTGGGTGCCCTGGAAGAGGAAGATGATGATATCTATGCCACAGAAACTCTATCCAAGTATGACACTGTTCTGAAGGACGAGGAGCCTGGAGACGGACTCTATGGCTGGACAGCACCCAGGCAGTATAAAAACCAGAAAGGTAATTCGACAGACGCAAACCTAATGGCAGGATCTAGTGTCAGGGTATCAGGAAGGAGGGGCTGCAAGAGTGGTACAGGAGCACCAGCCTCTGTTGTTGATCAAAGACATGGTAAGAAACAAAACAAAGAAGCGAGGCCCAGCGTGGGAAGTGAAACAAACGCAGGATTCAGACCTGGCCAAGGCCAAAGCCAGCTGTCAAGGTGGGGCCCAGGTGGGAAGGAGGGAGAGGTCTGTAATCAGGGAAAGAGGAATGCCTGGACCAGTGACCAAGTGGCTGGTCAGAGCTGGCAGCGGGTCAAAGGGAAGCACCCAGAGTTAGAGGAACTGGGCAGGCGGCCAAAGATGGCCAATACATGCGGCAGGTTAGAAGGTCAGGCCAGGGGACCAGGAGGCAGGTACACCAACAGCCTGCAGCAAGATGGAGCTGAGCGCCCAGTCCGTCTCCCTTGAGTCTCTGGCTCTGAGGAGGCTCTTTTTGCGATAAGAGACTGACATCTTTCAACACAGCTTTAACTTCACGCTGTGTTGAAATTTCAAGGGGTATCAGATCCTGTGGTTCGAAGTCACATTTCAGTTGTTTCCAGAAAAGGTGCAGGGCCAGACAGTGTAGAGTCGGTATTAGCAGCATGTGATTTGGAGTCAGTCAGACCTGGGTTTGGATGCCAGCTCTCCACTGCCCAGCTTTGTGACCTTAGGCAAGGCTCATAACCTCTCTGGGCATCAGAGTCCACATTTGTAAAGTGAGGATAAAATCCACTCCAGAAGTGGTTGTGAGGATTAAGTGGCATAACTTAGTGTCTGGCATAGCACCTGCCCCAAAGACTGAAGAAGTGGCATCTACTGTTCTTTGGTTATCATACAGTCATGTGTCACTTGACTGGGATGGTGTGACAGGGAACCCAGGGTTTTACACAGGACACTGGAAGGGCATCTGTACCCCGTGTTAGGAGACTTAACCTCTGGGCGGTCGGTCAGTGGGTTGCTAGTACTTATTTCCTTTTTTTTTCTCCTTCCGTTTTTTTTCTTTTTTTCTCCCCTGAGTCATTTAGCTTCGGAGCCTTCTTCCTTTTGCCTCCCTATAGTTTCTGATTTCTCTTCCCAAACTATGAATTATTTTTATATAACTTAAATGAAGATATATTAGTATATCATAATATACTATTTAATTTAAATACTATATTATCAATATACCATTATATATTATATATGATTTATATTTTATATAATTAATATATCAATACTGTCAGTATATTATGTAACATATAATATATTACATAATAATGTATAGATATGTTAATTATTATTTATTAAAAATGTTGGGAGAATGAAATTGATAATATCCTGTATCTCTGTTAGTATAAATGACATTCAATATTATAACAACATATTAATAACATTAATTTATTAATCCTCTAATAATCATATGTAATGACATATACTTAAGTCTGCCTGCTGAGTCACATCTTTCACTTTTCCCTCATGCACCAGCTTTGCCCCCAGCTGATTGGTTCCCACTCCGTCCACCATGCTCCAAGCCTGTCCTTGTCTCCTTGTCCCTCTCTGCTGTGACCTCTCTCCCCCAGCTTCCTCTCTTCCACCCTGCAGGGCCACGATATCTGTAGTTTTGACTGTATGGTTTTTTTAAATTTTTTGAGACGGAGTGTTGCTCAGCCGCCCAGGCTGGAGTGCGGTGGCGCGATCTCAGCTCACTGCAAGCTCCGCCTCCCGGGTTCACGCCATTCTCCTGCCTCAGCCTCCCGAGTAGCTGGGACTACAGG